CCCCAAAACCCCAAAACCCCAAAACCCCGCGCTCTTGAATGTCAAAAAAAATTAACTTAATTTAATATCTTAAAAATATGATAATCTAAATCATACTTATGTGTTTATGAGATCAACAAAAGTTAACTTTGTAAACTTCCATATATATCACTTTGAATTTTTCACCCCCTGACAAGAATTTTTTGCTAATTTCATCTCCTATTTGATACCCATCTATCGTTTGGTATATTGAACCTAATTGTGCAGAATTGCACTCACTTCCAAAACAATTATTTTCGATAGAAAGTCCTAATTAACCGAATCTTAAATACTTATCAGCACCATATGATATTGACTGATGAAAGTTTTAGATCTACCTGAATACCTTATTCTTAGATAAACTGAACAAGAATGCATTGTCATCATTCCTATCCATTCTTCCCTGATATGAGGAGGTTTCCCATGAACATTTAGTATAGCCTCCAAAAATTAAGCCATGATTACTAAGTATAAAGCAGACATTAGCTCCTCTGTAATAGACACTATATCTGAATTAATCTATTGTCTAATTTTCTGGTAATGAGTTAGAATATAGGAGTTTGTATGAAATTTTCAAATCTCTGCTGATGTTTTTGCTTACTATACTTCCAACACCTTGTTAAAGCTCCAAATCTACTAATCTTCGAAATTCTATAAACATATCTTTGTGTTGAAGAATATGCTGAGGGATTTAAATCTCACCAACATAATTCTCTTTTCTCTCTTCCTCATAATCATTGACGATGTTAAACTTTTGTCTATATTTATCCCTATAAATTAATCATTATTAGTAAAATTAAAGATACGAAAATGGTATAATGAAATCAAGGATTTCGAATTTATCTCTTAAATTTTTCCTCAGATTCTCATCAATATTAGAATGCTAAAGTATTTCCATGTTCAATTTAATTAGATTTTAGATTTAAGCAACTGTAAAATCTCTGTCTTTTGTTATAAATTATTGATAAGATTCAAGCATCTATTCAATTTTAATAATTTCTTCTTTTAATATAGGTATCATTTTAGTAAATGATTCCTCAAGATAGGGTCTTTAGAGCTCAAAGTGTCTGGTTTTATCTGTGATGTAGTGAGAATGAGGATCGATTGAAAGACATCTGCTGCATATCATCTTATTTAGGTCCTTGCAATAGACATGGGCATTCTTATTAGGATGATCGTCGCATTTTATGTTATAGAAATCATACTATTATAGTTATCTCATTAGAAATTATGAAGGCAAGACTAAAGAGTCTTTTGCAAATTAATGATTATCTTCGAAAGGGCAGTAGATCTTTTCATTTTAAACCTGATCCTTTTATTACTGGTAACATTGGAGACAAATAAAATCAGTGCAAGGTAAAGCAATTGGCTTTCTCTCTTGAAGGTTGTAAAATCTGTTGCAGCTGAAGCAAATCAGCATGTTAGTTTGTTGATTCATTTAAGATATTATTATAGATAAAATAATGAGCCAACAAATTAATAAAATTTTAGATTTTATAGATAACAAATTAATCAATATTAAACAACTTATGAGAATCTCAGCCTAAGGGGTTTTGGGGTTTTGGGG